TAATAATTGGACTAAAAGTTTTAATGGACACCAAAAACGACCATAAGTTGCGTAAGCGGCGCCGCGGGCTTATATGTTATTACTTAATATTAGACCTATTAACGTTATAATCATCTTTAGATTGTTTAATATTCAAAAATATGATAAATGGTTGTTTAATAACATAATCTTCTAACATTTTCGATTAAGCTGTAAATATAATCGATAAAATTGTATAGTAAACGTTACAAACAGTGATTAATATTAATTTTGATTAGTCTAAAACGCTGTTGCCCACCGAAACCGGTATGAAAAGTAACCGCGCACGTGTGGAGACGATGACAAAATAAATACGATGGTGGCGTAGTTTATCTCGTTATCAAATGGTTTGAAACGCGGCTTAGCGTCCCGGAGAACGACCGCTTTGAATTGTGCAATGTTGGGAGTGCATATCTGAGCCGTGCCTGCTGCAATCTGACGTCGCGCACGCCGCTACCAGCCCTCTAATCCAATAACTATCTGTCCTACAATACATATTAGTTTAATTCGCTCGTGCCCGTTTTGTCTTGTCTCGATACTTTTTAAACTGATACATTCCTAAGAGTAGCATCATCGCATGCGCTGTGCACGCATTCGCTGACGTTGTACCGCCGACGGCAGTTTTCGTAATTTCGCGATAAATCAGGTTCCACTTAATGTCGCGGTTGATTTCAAATATGAGTGATGTCATTATTTACTCTTTGAGCGAGGTAATAGTGTCGGCATAGAAAGGAGACTGAATCATAGAATAAGTTTGGAGCCGCGAGTGTGTCGGGAGGTCAACACTCGTCAAGGGTTCAACGTCTCCGTCACTAAATGTTTCCTGCTACTAGAATACCTTTTAAACAATAAACCATAAAAGATAATACAAAAAGACGATGATGTATTCCAAAATTTAAGTGGCACGAATTCCGACAGGACATAAGCTCTTTGGAATGCTTGGTATTTTAAAATACATCTAATTTCGAGAATCGTTATCTCGAATTGGGATTGTAAAAGTTGACAGGACATGTATAATATTTAAATGTGTGGCGAAACTAAACCGACCTAAGGTTCTTTTAGCAATTTATTTCTTTTGCTTCTTAATATGGAAACCTGTGTAGTTTTTGAATACATATTACGTTGACCTCATTTATACATATAACTATGCTAAATATCGATAGCAAAAGCCTCTAAAATTGCTTTTACAACTTTTGTTCTCCGCATTTATAACTTTTTTATTATTTGTTAATGTCATTTATTAAACAAAAACAATATCAAGTTTATAGGTACGATGGTAAAATTATTGTATAGAAGATAAAAAATAAGGTTTCCGTATTATTTCCCAATAATTAACGTAAAACATTTTTTTTGTTTAGAAAAAATATTTAAAGTATGCGATCCAGGCAGCTAGATGTAGCGTAGCTTTCCGGCTACGTTATTTATCTCGTACGCAAGCAAACCGGCTCCGCGGTGACATTATCTCAATTACAATATTAGCATGATGATCTGCTTTGAATAAATATTAAGTAACAGATAGTGGACGGAATTTCGCGTTTCAAATGCCGCCTATTTTGATAATAACAGAAGTCTAGAAGGTCATTTTATCATTATTTTTTCTCTGCTAGTGATCTTTTTCCAGACTTTGTAGACTACGAACGTTATTAATTAATTTATAGTTAGTATTTTTATTTATGTCATCAATGTATTGTCAAAAACGTTTTGCAAAGCTCCTTATTATGCTACTGTTACACATGAATAATTTCTATGTAACATAATGTAGACCCAGATTTTACGGCCGGCTAGAGTCAATATGACATTGATAACAATTCATAGCTCTACCCGTTATTGTATTTCAAACTTGTCTTCCATTAAAATTGTATATGTAGAAACCATGTAGTGTGGTTAAATGACATTAGTGTTTTGGCTAACAACATTCAGGAATTGAGGAAATATTGGTTTTAAAATAATTTATTTAAAAGAGACACCGCTTAATAATGAAGAAGTGGTTAAGTGGTACAAATTGGAGGTTCTCATTAAATCAATAAATTAATGATGTCGCGACGCTATCTATTGCCGCCGCGCACTCAATTTGTTACGAAACCTTGATCCGCAGATTGATGATTTCGCCTTCGACTCATGTGTCCAAAACGAGAAGAATAACTCAAAGCAGCAATCGTGTCAACAATTTTTGTACTTAAGGCGTGGGATTGTGCAGTTTTGAAACTTAATTCGTAGTGTTTATCTATAGGTTTGTCTAAACACAATTCGTACCTTCGATTTTCTTGTCCGGTCCGAAGAGGCGGGGTTACGAAATGTTACCACTGCCAATACTTTCTCTCGTCTTGCAAACCGACGTACACAGGAAGTTAAGATAACAATAGACTCTCACGAAACCCTTTAATGTGCCATAGTTTTAATCGATTAGCACCCAGCCATTCCAGTCTCAAATGCAAGATTATCAGCTACTATAAAATTCGTTTGCCAACTGGTTTTGCAACTTCGGGACGTACGTTCGACTAGTTGTGTTCGAGGCTGCGTTGCGGAGGTATTTAAGATACATAGCACACTGTTCATGTAATAGTCAATTCGAATACCAACAAGTGGAAACCACTTTTTTTAACTTCACCATGTCACACACAATAAAATTCCTTGTATGATTTTTACTTCTGTCAATGTCACTTATAACAAGTGATTTCTATTCTACATAAAAAACTCATTCGTATTTAAATTGTTGAATTGACATTGATGTTTGGTATGTTTCGATGGAACCTATAACATACGTTAACAGCATTTCTTATTCATCGACACGGTACGTGATCGACAATCTTGAGAGAGAAGCGTTTTGATGGTTTATACAGCTTAAAATATTTGTCGTGATGTTCGGAGAATTATCTGTCTCGGCGACGATGGCAGACGCACCAGAAGCGGTGTTTGCGGCGAGCAAATACGACGCACTTGTGTCAGACGGGAGCATCACCGGCGACTAGTGTTTGTATACGTTGACATGCATACCTCCAAATTTAAAACAGACCCTTGAAAAGCTTGATATAACAACGCCACAAACAACTCCCGCCATTTTCCCATTTTGGGTTTCATTAGTTTTTTTTTTAACATATTCAAAATTGTTATAAGTTTCTAATCTCATTTGATCTAGTAATTGCCGTAGTATTACAATGGTCAAGTGTAGTACATAGATTCTGAATCGAATTACAAGTCCTACGTAAGTGCAGCAGCGTAGCTGAGAACTGGAAAATAACCCTTACACGCTTATTTACGCACACGTTTAACGAGCGAAGAATTTCTGGTAAAGTAGATTATAGCGAATATGTTTTACAAAAATGTATTGTTTTTCGAATACATTGACATTCAACTACGTATTAATTTCAGAACGCAAGCCTGCGTTTCTGTAGAGGGAAGTAAAGCTTCGAGTCTGTAAGTTATAGGATGCAATTGATTACGAATAGCGGGCGCGCGGTCGTTCCAGCGAATGACTCTAAATAATGCTTGGCGGTTATGCGGCAGTTTACTCTTAACAGATGAATCGAACGTTGGCTTGCGAGGGACTCACTTAGCTGTACCTCGAAGCGAGCTAAGCGCACGGCTAGTACTTGATATTGATCGTAAAATATAACTCATAACGCATGAATTCAATTAATGATTCCGGATACATTAGATTTTTAGTACTGAAGGTTTTCCTTTAACAGTTTCCTTGACCGAATGACATCATCGTGACTGGTAACGAGTGTTTGCTCTCACGGTGCCCTTCACCCAAAAGCTTTTCCCACGTCGTGGCGCAACGGCAGAGCCGCACTTTAACTAGCTTTCAGGACTCGGTGACCAATTATTACAGTCGGTTTATGTTCCCCGATTACGATGTCCAGTGCATCGCGCTTCGCTTTAACGTATGACAGGTCGTTAATGCATCGATTTATGCTTTCAATCGACCGTTCATTCGTCGCCTCCGTGAGGCGCTCTAATCATCGATTATCAACAGGGTCCTTAAAATGCTAATGTAATGCTAACGAGGCGCTCGTTTACAAGGAACCGGGTGTAACCACCTACATAATGTTACTGTTACCTCGTATTATTCATGGGTGTCCTTTGAGCTCCAGCGAGCGACGCGCTAACATTTTTTCAATTCAATATCAGAAGTCTTTTCGTATTCCGAACGCATATGAATCGCTTGTAGGTTTCGAATTTGGCTAAAAACTGGTTGCTATTACACGTATACATATCTCGAGGTATTCTCATTCATAAAGTGTTGACTCTACAAGAATACAGGATCATTATAAGTGATGCACCTATTCAAATATTTACCGACATCGCGCTATGAATGGCAGACTGATGTATTGATAAAAATATGAGGTTCGAGGAACGTCCCTTTTCCGTTCTGACGACTTTATTGCAGACCTTGTATTTAATTACCTACATACCTTGCCTGGTTATCCTTCTTACTCTTATTTTTATTCTACCGCATACATTTGTCGTTTTATTTTTTTTACAAATGTCAATGGGTTCATTAGTATTTTATACAGCATGGACAGATTGATATACGAATTTAATATTAATCCGTTTAAAGAAAATAAAAAATAGGTTGTATTATAAATAGCAATTAAACGTAATTTTCTCCCGGTAAAATACAACTATTCTACATTATGTGTACATTAAATTGTAACAAGTGCGGGTTAATAAATTACCATATAATAAAGACGTTGTCTGAGAATTAAAATTAGTAGCTTTAAACATGAAGCTTTTTGTTTTAAATTCTGTGTGTGATTCTGTCGAATTTTTCTTTTATTCTTAGACACACGACTAATTAAAATCGAACGTAGAATTTTGCGGAATAGAAAACGTGTATTATTACCCAAATTTTGATGTTATCTTAACATTTTACGTGTTTGTAGTACACATTTTCCATATCGTTTAAGTACGAGTAAATAGCCTTACATAAATATTCGCGCTTCGGATGTGCATATTGAGCGATAAGATAATTGACTTACCGTGTTAGCGTTGATCCTGGCAATGGTTTGAGGATTGTTTTTGATCACAAACACTGAACTTTCACTGTGTTATCGCGTGTGGTGCCCGCGAGTCGCTATGTGCGCGCGGAGGTGCGACAGGTGCGCTCGCCGCAGCATCCGCGACGGCTCTGCGTGTTTGTGCTGCGCGCGCGCCGGACTCAGCCACGCCTCTTGCGTACGCGCACCTCCCCTCCTCACTTTCCGCCACTGAAGCCTTTGATTTTCAGAAGTTTTCCAACCTATTGTTTAGTATCTTTCACCTTATTTACTATTTTTAGTTTGGTTTAAGCAACTCTCGCAACGAAAGTTATTATTGACAAGTAACACGTTAGCGTACTAATCGATCTTTGCGGGAAAATAATATCTGACGGACGATTTTTTGTATATGATTGGTATGAATTTAATTTATATATTATTAACATCAAATAATAGTGTTATTATAGTTATTATATTGTACCCCTGTATGGTTATTCTATACCTTTCAATTGCAATTACCTATTTTCACATTCAATCTATGAATGTTACACTATTCACAATGAACTTATTGTATACTGAAGAACAATAAATCAATGTAGGAATATGTGTATTTTATAAATATGAGACATAAGCTGTAAAAGATAAAGTTATTATTTCCATCATTTCCTGTTGACTTTACACGAGCGTAAATTCTTTACTTAATAATTACTTTAGTTAATCAAGTTACGTATTTGACGAGTCCATAACAAGTCCTTTATACATACATATATCAAGGCTAATGTTTTAGATGCACATTCATTTTATTATGTTGAATATCTCCGCGTACTGTTTACAGTCGATAGATTTCTAAGAACACTATCTAAGTAGCGACCGTAAAGTGCGGCATTCACTGCGCGCTGAATCTTATTGAAGCGACCGAGAAAGCACGCTCTTTTCACCATAAATTCTGTAGTGATTTCTACTAATCGATTTCATTGATTGGATGCTTATTTATAAAATATTACCCTCTCTGGCCAGTTTATCGGTATAATGTGATTAGTCGTTATTTTGTATTAAAATTGTTAGTTCTGCTGGATATTTCGATCAGAGAAGGTTTAAACTTAGAAGGTCGTTTCTTAGTGCTCATTAACTTTACTACAAGAAGGTGCATTTTAAAAAGGATCCTACGTTAATTTAGTCGTTTTCTTTAGGCACGATCAAATTTGCCAATATGACGGCACAGCACTATTACAACTGACGCGAGTTCGTTCAAAACGGCCCTAGTCATTAATAATAAACTATCCTAACATCATCGATCATTTCAATCAATATTGGTACTTTTCTATTGCTACTCTCAGTTACATAAATGAACTTTCTCCCCAATCGATTGCATGTTGCGAACATAAGTACACTCTTAAATGAACCTCCGCCAAGAGTCAAAGTCAATTTCTCAACCGTACCTGTGTGGTACAATCTGCCTACAAAATGAGAACATGGTAATTTGCATTGCGACGTCCAACAGAGGCGGTGCCCCCTCGATGATGTATTACTCTATTCGGGATTCAACTTACTTTATAATAATAAACATATTCATCAAGTAGACTAAAGATATATTATCCAGCTTTTTATCATTTGCATTAAAACGAACGTTTTTTGTAAGCAGAACCACCCAGTAGGTTTGAATCTGTTGGTTTAATTTTTCTTTTCAATAAGATTTAATTTCAATTTCACAGACACAAGTTGTTTTCCACATCATGCAAATAAAATGCATAACTTTTTTTTGTATGTGAATAACCGTTGTGATTGTACAACCAACGGAATCGCTGTTACATATCAAAACTTTTTTTATCGATAGTATTTACAAATGGTAACAGTTATTTATCATCATTCAGTTCGCAGATTAGTGATTAAGTAATGTACAATAACAGATTCGTTTCACTTTTATTGACATAGATAATAAACGATTATATCATACCATCATTCTTTTAGATATATCGTGTTCAATTGTTAATATTTATTTTAAAACTATAACACTAACATGTTCTCAGTAGGACCTCAAGCTTAATTGATACAAAACTGGGCGAATTTATTATTGACCTGTAAACGTCAAGTTTTTTAAGTTCATTAACAAGCTTGTAACACGATGTGTGACGAAGCTGACAACATAAATATGTTAGCTTCTGTCGTACGCCGACAGCAACCTGCCTGCAGCTACTTGTGGCGTGATCCTGTCAGTACCGCAATTAGCCAATTACAATTTTCGATTACCGCAGAGCGTGTCGGTGCAGAGCGGCAGTCGAGCCGCCGCATACCGACAGGTTTTGTGGGTTTTACTTGACGGCGTCCGCGGCCGAAGGGTCGCTATCCGGGTGGCCAGCCTTCAACTCCCAAGGTCCGACCCGTATACATCGCCATTATTGTTAATGCGTCTTGACATTTGAGATAAAGAATTAATATTAAAAAATCGTTATTTAAACATAGGAACCGTACTGCCAGTCGTGTGCCCATCGCTAGACGGCGTCATTCAAATATATTTGATAATGATTTAACTGACTTGAATGAAATATCGATTCACGAGAAAGCTTGGACCTGACAGGAGCTATCAAAACCAAAGGTCAAACGTATTGTAATGATATCATAACATATCGATTCATATGTACTTTAAGTAAACTTGATTTTATGCGTATGCGTTTATCATTCGAGTGGTTAGCCCTGTATATGACACATATTTTTTCTACAAAGTGCCAACAAATTGAAATAAACTAAATGTACATGTTTTTGAGAAGGTGTCGTACTACTAATCCAATTTAGACATCACAGGCATTTTGAAGCCCATACAACCGAAATTAGCAGAAAGATGTTTTACGACAACACGTGAAGTCGCTTTAACTTCAGAGACGATTTAAATGCAAATCACTTTGTTGGTACAAATTACAGGAAACAGAATAGCATTAAGTTGGAAGTTTACACCACAGCTAGTTTTTACACCTACAATCATATCAATAAGATTAATCGCCACCTACGGTTTAAAGGCTTTCCGAATGGTGATTTTAACTTAATCTTTTGTCGTTAAAGTAAAATTGATTGGCTTATAATATGTTTTTTTGTCAATTACTAATTGCATAACTGTTTGGGTCCCGTAATAAATGATACATGTTCTCTTGCTGTTTAGTTTTTGTAAACAAATTTCTCTAAGTCACCACTGTAATATCCAAAAACAAAATGTCGCAAAAGCTATTTAGTTTTGAATGTTTGACAACAGTTAATCTTGTAACATTGACAAGTGTTTTAGGATTTTTTGTAACTGAATTGAACATTTTATTACCATTAAAATAATTATTTGCGGTTGCTTTACCTTACTACACGACGATAATTAAATAAAATTAACAAACACGATGTGAAAATGATGATGTCTATCGCGGTATTAAATTAGACTTTATTTCAACTAATTATGCAGACATTAAATATCACACCGCTTGACATTGGTCATTTAAATAATGTTGTCTGATGTTTTTAAGTGGTCAACGTGAATTATTTTGTCATTAGGACCGGCGCCGCCTCATAAATAATTTTCTATTTTTTTCTAATAGCAAAACGTAACATTAAATCCATTACAGGAAAAACGAACGAGTTAATAAACGTGAATATTCTTTTTTGTCTCGTTTTTGTGTGATTTTGCAGCCTTATAGGCCGGGTTTTACTCTATTTTACCATACATGATGCGGGGAAGGACATCTGTTCACCTAGATTTTCACTTCAGTACTATTCCGAGCGTACGAATGTACATTTATTAGCTGTAAATGGTCGTCAATAAATTGAACCGGCGTTTCGCTACTGCGTCGTTTGTTTCAATAGTAGAAGTCGTGTCAGCTGCACCCAACGAGTGACACAGATGGGGCCAACTTGCTTGGCATAAAGTGTAGGGCTGAAGGAAAGTATTTTCGTCGTTATGGATGCTTATAAAACATGATACATTATTACCACGACAATTACGGTACATTAACCAGCCTTAAAGTTGCAGTCCAGATTATATGTTTCAAAAGTTTGCTGGAAAATTATTATTTAGAGAGATTCATAGAACAGTGCAGTTTGCTAGTCTTGTCTCGATGTATTGGTATCGCATTGAAATGTGCAAATTATACTCGTAAGTTGCAGTGATTTGCCTTCCTACACCTTTATGTATTTGTCTGTCATTAAGTGCGATAAAATTTATTTATGACACTTAATTAAAGCAATTACAATAGTTAACATTGAATTGCAATTGCAACACAGTGTGATGTGTTTGTTTCCTTCAAAGATAGACTTTTGTAACTTTTTTGTAACTTGTTAGTGCTTAATTTAGTAGCAGATAATTTTATTCGACGTACATACCTTGTATCATTTACAAAAGGTGACGTGAGATATCTTGACTTTAGTTGAAACAAATAATGGAATTTTAAATGCTGCAGGTTTTCTTCCCTGCACTTCAACTTCTTACACCATATATCCGCCTTCTGTAATTAAATGACATAAAACGTATTCACGGCGATTATATCAATTGCAATAATTTGTTTTTACCGTAAGAGAAAATATGTAATATACTTTTAATATTTATATTAGTCATGCTGCGTTTGTGTTCCCAATCGTTTGGAATTATTCGGTAAGAAGGGTTCTGTTCACCGTATGTTTTCGTTTTACGACGCCTCTGCAATTTGTGCATTAAATTTAACTGCGTTAATTCACAGTAAGTCATATTTTATGTTATATGTATCTGCTTTTTGTTGATAAGACATCACGTTTTACGGCCTAATAAAGTAATGTTTCCTGATAGATTGAGCTCCGCTTTATTGGCGGCGTGTGTACTGAGTTGCCCGCACTGCTTATTGGCTTACGGTATTGTGTTGACTGCGGTATGTGGAGGCTCTAGAAACAAAAACAGGTTGCCGTAATACAGAAGGAGATTATTTCATTCTGTTAGTATTTGCGGGAGGGTGATTAGTTTGATTGTTGATATACTTATAAATCTGGATGAATTGCTTAATTCAATAGTACTGGGCCAATGATAGAATTCTGACTTAAGTGTCTTAATTATATTTTTCGATTATTTCCCACATCTTTACTCTTACATTAATAGTGTTTACCACTGTACCCTTCCTTAATTATGTTATTGCCTATACAATTGCAATCAGTTTTCCTATTAATACATATT